GTAATTGTGCTTAACAACAAATTTCTTAAAATTTCAGTGTAGAGACAAAGGGAGTGGGGCAGATCTTTACAAAAGAACGGACCAGAACTCGCACTTTAATGCTAATGGTGTATGTGTATTTGCTGTGAAAGTGGAGAGTTTGCATCTGAGGCAAATTTTTGAAATCATCATTTTGCTGAGTGGAATTTTTTCCATTTGTACTTTGAAATGCTACATTGCCTTTCAAAAATAACCAAATTTCATCCTGCACTTGAACAAAATGACAGCTTTGCTTAAAGGCTCTTGAGAGTATCCATTTCCTCTCTCACAAATCCTTTCTCTCCCTCTTTCTCTCATTTTCTCAAAGTGAGCCATGGGTTCTTTTGTACAACTATTACCATAGCTGCGCTGTAAATTTTGCAGTTGGAAGGTCTTCACATGCTGAAAGCCTACAAAAAGGGAAAATTAGTTTTAACTATTGTTCTGTGGATTGGAACAGAAGAGTATTCCACTGTTTGAGAAGCAGCGATGGCAAAAACAGACAAATGCAGTTTTTACCATGTACAATGTGTATCCCATTCAGATTTCAGAATGCCTTCATTAAAATAAAAATAACAATTCTGAAATTTGCAAAAGTTCTTTATTTACAAGGACCACGTCCATCTAAAAGTTCTCTTGCTGTAAGAGGAAAAGCTACAGTGTGGTCCTATGATTTAGCATCTGCCATTCAAAATAGTAGTTTGACCTATTAAAATGGACATGTCTACAGTCATAAACTCCCGATTCTGCCTCTGGTCTCGTTCTCCAGTTCTATCTCCTCTTTTTGTTCAGTGGTTTCTCTGGCAATCTACTCGAACCAAAGGCTTCACATATATGAGCATTGGTCTTTTTATTTAGTTAGTTATATTATCATAGCTATGTTGGGGACTCTGACAAGCATACATGATGAAGTTAAGCAGCTGTCTCCATACTAACTTTAGATGTCCAATATCATTAAAATCATATGAAAAATATGAAAAGCCATTGCCTATCTGAAAAGCACTGGGTCCAGACAACATCCCCGCAGAAGCAATCAAGGCAGGTAGTGAGACATCAGTCAATATGATGTATAATCTATTTGGGAAAATTTGGGACACTGAGGAGATCCCACAAGACTGGAAACATGGCTACCTTATCCAGCTTCCAGAGACAGGTAACCTGAAGGAATGCAAGAATTGGAGGGGCATCATGTAACTGTCTATTCCAGGAAAAATATTCAAAAGGATTCTCTTGGAAAGAATGGAGACAGAAATTGATAGACATCTCAGGGAAGAACAAGCCGGCTTCCGAAGCAAGAGATCTTGTACTGATCAAATAGCAACTCTCAGAGTGATCATAGAACAGTCGCTTGAGTGGAATTCCCCACTGTATGTAACCTTCGTAGACTTCGAAAAAGCCTTTGATAGCTTTGATAGAGACACCTTGTGGAAACTGCTGCAACATCGTGGCATTCCAGCCAAAATTATTAACCTGATCCATTCAATGTATGAACCCTTGACATGCCAAGTTGTGCACGTGGTGTCTTGACAGAATCCTTCAGCATACTCTGAGTAGTGCGACAAGGGTGCCTATTGTCACCTTTCCTGTTCTTGATCACAATGGACTGGATTCTGAGCAGGACAACAGATGGCCAGCAATGGGGCATTCAGTGGACACCTTTCAAACAACTAAAGGACATTGATTTTGCTCACGATGTTGCCCTCTTTTCACACCATCATGAAAGCATGGAAGAAAAGGTTTCAACACTAGACAAAACTGCCTCAATGATTGGACTGAGCATCAACAAGGAAAAGACCAAGACAATGAGGATAAATCAGTCCAACAACAACACCATCAGACTGAGAGGGGATGATCTGGAAGATGTGGAGCAGTTCACCTACTTGAGGAGTATTATGGACAGAGACAGAGGAACAGATAAGGATATCAATGCTAGGATAGGGAAAACAGCAGCTGCATTCAAGACACTTCATCCCATATGGAGATCACAAATAATATCTGTGAAGATAAAACTGCGGATCTTCAACACAAATGTGAAGAGTGTGTGTGCTCTTGTATGGATGCGATACCTGGTGTACTAAAAAGTCTTTAAATCACAAGCTACAGACATTCATAAATAGATGCCTGAGGTACGTCCATCCTTCGCATCAAATGGCAAGACTTTGTTACAAATGAGAAGCTTTGGAACAGAGCAGGACAAGAACCACATGACGCTCAAATCAAGAGAAAAAAGTGGGGATGGGTAGGCTACACTCAGAAAACCATCTTCCAGTGTAGTCCGTCAAGCTCTGACATGGAACCTGAAAGGAAAACGCAAAAGAGGAAGACATTGGACAATGAGGAGAAGATCTACTGAGATTGAAGGACAACAACTGAAGTACTCCTGGAGTCAGCTAGAAGTTTTCTCTCGAGACAGAGTGAAGTGGAGGAGACTTGTAAATGACCCTATGCTCCACAGTGGTTTAGTAGTAGTAGTAGTAGTAGCTCACATGTCCTCACTTAACACTCTTTGCTTCTGGTTAGTATCTTTTCATGCCTGGGCACTTTAGTGCCACAGCTGCCAGAGCAGAGGTTTTGGAGAATTTTATCACATGGTTACTAAAGCAAAATCACAGAATTCCTGAACCAGAGAAGTGGCTTTTTTTTTCCCAGCATGGATGCTTACACAGAACAGCTATTCACCATGTTTGCTACTTTTTTGATTCCTAGGGGATTGATAAAGGTCGACACTTGTCTGTTGTATGACAGGAGATGGTGGTGAGATTAAGGGATTCCTGAATATCAAAGGAGACAGTACAAGTATAGTTCTAGCTCAGCCTTAACAACCCAAATAACTAAATAGTCTTATTTATGCCTCGGAATGAAGGCTAGGATGGTGCACAGTGTTGAGAACCAAAATTCATTCAACTCTGCGTAATTGGGATAGTTTTGACTAATTAGAATGGTAGTGACTGGTTGAAACTTCTGAATGAGGAAGGCAGCTTTCTTTTTTCTTTCTCAACATAATAATGCAGCAGCAGTATAGGTGTAATCACCCTTGGCATGATAATTGCTTTTGCTATGTGAAAGTTAGCTACCTCTAATAACTACAGCTTCATGATTTTTATTTGCTCTGGGCAAGTCATTATTTGCGGCTATTGTGGTACAAGTATCAGGCGGTGTACAAAGTCCTGCTGGGATATGTTCTTACAATTAATGTAAGGAATTGAACAAGAGTGGGGTGTCACCAACAGTGATGGACAAAATGAATGCTCTTGTTCATTAACAGCTCCCCCAAGAGGTTCAGATATGTATTATTGTCACGTCGGCTCTTTACCATTTCACTATGCTGCAGACCCTACTGGAGCACATATACTAGTGTCTAGATATTAATGTTAGCTCACCAGTCAATGAACAAGAACTTTTGAAAAACTCCTGTTTGTATCCAAGGACGTAGCTCACCAGTCAATGAACAAGAACTTTTGAACTCCTGTTTGTATCCAAGGACAACGAATGGCACACTGTATATCCAAGATGGATGCTGATAAACTGGAGAGGATTGGGAGAAGAGCCACAGGATGGTCAAAGAGTTCGAAAACATGCTTTTCAGTGTTAGACTCCTGAAGTTCAATCTGTTTTGCTTAACAAAGAACAGGTTAAGGGGTTACTTGATTAGTCTGTCTGTATTGAGAACAAATATTAAATCATGGCTTTTCAGTCTTGAACAGAAAGAAATAATATGATTGAATGGCTGGCAGTGGAAGCTAGATGAACTCAGACTGGAAATAAGACATAAAGTTTTAACGATGAGAGTAAATGTTGGAACAATTTGCCAAGGCTCTTGGTGGATTCTCCATCACTGACAATTTTTAAATGAATGGGTTATTTTTCTAAAAGATAGGAATTGTTTGGGGGGATTTCTAAGACCCGTGTTATACAGGAGATCAGACTACCAGCTATTTTGCACACCATGGCTCTGCCTCAATCGCCGAGAATGCACATGGGAGCCACATGAGGCCCTGTGGTCTGAAGGAAGTTTTGGAGCTAGAGAGGCAACCTTAGCGATTAACTCTTTGGTGCAGATGCTTTGCAACACAATAAGACTCTTCTTATGCATCTAGGTTTAAGTTAAATTCTGTAATGAACAAGCCTCTGGATGCAGTGATTGTATCAGTGTTCCTTAAAGGTAATACACACCATAGAAAAAAAGTATAGCTGAACTGATTCTTTGGCCTATCTCTATCACAATCACTTGTGTGCTAATTTTAGGCTGTGCAATAAAAATGAAAATTATTTTCTGTATAACACAGTTTTTTTGCAATTGTATAGTGGTCCCTAAAGGCTGGAGAAATTGGTATCTCTTCTGGTCATCAATGCCGAATATCGCTAACACAAAAATCTCACAAGAAACACACTATGATCTCTCACTGTTAGACAGAAATGGTTTTAAAAATCCTATTAAAGCCACAAAGATACTCTGTTAATATATTAACACGTTCTGCTGGATTGCCTCTTATATCTTTTAGATTCTTTTAGATTCTTGAATGGTTTGGGCTTGAAGGGAGCAGTGTTCCCTGTAAGCTGGGCACTTAGGCGACCATCCAAGAGAAATTCCAGTGCCACTCAGCTGATTAGCAGAGTGCCCATACCCAGCAGCAGGTGTTTTTACCAGTGGTGCACAGACACACATGTCTTGATGCACATAACAAAAAATTTTCTGCCTATGGATGGAAAAAAATAGAGGGAGCAATGGTGGGGAGTAGCTTTAAGCTATCAGGGAGAGGGGAACGTTTCTTTTTAAAAAATAAAAATAATCACGGTTGTCTTTCCTTTTGTAACTTTACGAGGGGAACGTTTCTTTTTAAAAAATAATCACAGTTGTCTTTCCTTTTGTAACTTTATGTATTTTAGGAGCTTGTGCTTGTGACAAGTGAATTTTTAAGCCAATCTGTGAGTTTTCATGAACTGATATATTATAACATGAAACTTTGATTTCCATTTTACAGCCAGCGCTGATTTCCCATACAATGGTCAAGCTATAGGAGATGGAGTTAACAGGAACTCCGCAATTATTGGAGGTAAGAAAATGATATGCATTTGTAAGATATTATGTAGCTTGCGTATAGAAGTTTGTAATGGCAAAAAATAGTGTGTTCAAAATGCTTGCTTTAGTAAAGGGCTTCTCTACATAGGGAAGTTGTACCAGCTTAAAGGAAGGTGTAAATTGAAACTACTACAGTTATACTGGTATAACTCCCCGTGTAGCTCTGCTTAGTCCTATATAAGAGTGCGGGGTTGGGTTTTTTTTCAGTTTAGATTATGGTACTTTGAAAGCTATTTAAACTGTAGTCCAAAAAAGCCATTTGTATTCCAGATAGTTGTACTGGTATAACTCATAAAGTTTCCTGACATTTAGTCTAATGAACTGGTACACACCAATCAGCATGAAGCTTGGGCCTGATTCTGCTCCTATTCAGGTTGGCTCAAACCTGTAGATTCAGAGGCTGTAAGTCAGGCACCCTCTGTTATACTCTTGGCAAGATTTGGTTGTCAGGCTAACCTGACCTCTTTTTAGGGGCCAGATTCTGCCCTAACACCTCACAGAACCTCATTATAATTACAAATGCACATGTTATTACTTGCAGCGTTTGGCAAGGGCATGTCTGTGCTGCAGCACTCCAGTGAAGACAGTGCCATTGCTGGCAGGAGAGGTTTTCTTGTCAGCATAGGTACTCTTCTTCCTCAAGAGGTGGTAGCCGTGTAACTGAAGAATTCTGGCTGTGTTAAGGGCTATTTTTATTTAACTGGGTCTCTCATGGGATGTGGATTTTTCACACTCACTCCTTGCCCTAACTAGGCTATTGCAGAGGTTACTCTAAATAGGATGAGGCAATTGAGGGCAGGGCATGAGCAAATAAATTTGTAGTTATGAGAAACCAGTGCCCAGAATCCCCTTGTGAGGGTGCAAAAGGCCAGCATCCACTATTCCAGACAAATGCCACAAGCATCAGAGAGGGCTTGTGATGCATCTCCATAGCCAACCTACAGGTTACATATGAATTCTGTCCCCCAAGGAATTTCCCTGGCAAAGTCCAGTTAACTCATCTTCATTTACACTGGTATTTATTGGGAGTAGTTGGGCCCTTTGTCTCTACATTGACCTGTGAAGCACCAAATACCCCTGTGGACTGTAGAAATAGTAATAATGTTGAGGTTCAGCTATTGCCATAACAATAAAGGGACTCCATTTGATTAAGTATTAAAGTAAACCACAAAGGCATTCCATAGACATAAGTCAAGCCAAATCAAAAAGTGAGCTTCAATTAAATGCCAGATTGCTGTAAACATGTGACATGGAAAGTAAAATCAATATCCCGTGGAATTCCTGAATTATAATTTTTTTACTTCTGTCGTTTCTTCTTTCCGTTAGGTGTCATCGCTGTTGTGATCTTCACTATCCTTTGCACGCTGGTGTTTCTGATACGCTACATGTTCCGTCACAAGGGCACCTACCACACCAATGAGGCCAAAGGCGCAGAGTCTGCTGAGAGTGCTGATGCAGCCATCATGAACAATGATCCCAACTTTACGGAGACCATCGACGAAAGCAAAAAAGAATGGCTTATCTGAGCGTGTGTGAAGGGGGTTTGAAGCAGGGCTGGGGTGGGGTTGGGGATGACTCTTTTAGCGAGGAGAGAACGCTCTACTTCAGACCCTTGAGCACATCTAGTAAGAAGATCAGCACAAATGGAGGAGCAACCAACAGGAAAAACCAATGAGACTGGAAACCAGGAAAACACACACACATTTAAGAAAAGTACTTTTTAATATTCATTTACAATGAATTGCCCCTTCTGTATTCAAACAACAACAACAACAAACAGCAGCATTTAGAGCTTCAGCATTGGTTAAAATTTGTCAGTAATACCTGTCTTTTCTGTGTTTGTTTGGAGGTGTTCTAAATACCTGTGATGATAACAGGGCCCGTTTTTCTACATTTTTTAAAAGCCCTTTAGAATGTGGATATTTCTGTCTTGAGAACAGCTTAAACATCTGTACATCTTCAAAGTGTTCTTTTCTGTCATGCTTAGTCTGTTCCAGACAGGTTGCCATAATACCCAAGTCTCATTCACCTATTGTTCAATTTGGCAGTGTTTGAATTGGGGTTTAAAAATTGTAGGGAAGGGAGTGGGACAGGGAATATAAGGTCAACACTTAATGAAAATTTGCCAATTTTCCAAACACGACTATCTTGTGCCAACATTTTAAGAGTCCCGCTTTGGCACAGGCATTTAAAAATGTTGATTGTGTACAGTACTTATCAGCAATGTAAAAATATTATATTTATTCTGACTATGGGAGAGGAGTAAAAGCACAGGAAGCTTTTGGTTTTGATTTGCTTGTTTAAAATTGAAGGAGTCTGTAGGCCTAGTTCGTGTCTGTAGACCTAAACTGTTTCTGTAACTTTGGCTATGATGCTGCTGACCTGAGGCCACCTGCTGGTTTCAGTTTAAACTCAGCTCTGCCTGTGATATATTGGCGTATGCTGTATGTAGGCATAAGCATTGTAGTTGGGAATTAGAGCCAGACCTTACCGTTTGTTTGCTTGTTTCTCTTTATAGGCTGCCACAGAGTTCTTAGTACAGTTCTAGGGAATGCATTTGTTCTAACAATCTTCACATGATACTTTTTCTGTCATTGGCATAGTAATTTAATTTGTTCTTTAAAACTTTGCTTTAAATCCCATGTGAAGAAAGCCTCCATCACAGCACAGCAAAATAAGAGGCTTAAAGAGTCCTACTCATACAGAAGGCAGCAGAAATACTCAGCATGAGAGCAGAGGTCCTTTTTTAATAAACAGATTTGCCTGATCAGTTTCCCTGTCTTTGTGAAGTAATGATTAAGGAAGGCAAAGACAATATCTAGTGCTTCAGGGATCACAATCTCTCAGACCAACTGAATGTCAGACAGGTCACTGAAAAAAAGGGAGTCAGTTTGCAGAGAGGGAAAGTGGGAGCCTGAATAGCTAATTTCATCCTTTAATGGCAATCAAGTGTTTTTTGCTTCCCCACTGCAAAGGAGCAGAAGTCTCCAGTGACCTTTTTTGATGGTGACACAGGGCCTTATGGGTAGTTACTCATGGAAGGGAATGTAGATATGAATGTATAGCACATAATTTACTGTGCACCAAAAAACAAACAAACAATACTAAGAATTTCTTATGAAAGGATTTAGGCCTATGGCATTTTTGGTGTCATGTAACCGTAATATATTTACAGTTTGGGTATGCCCAGCTTTAATCCATTCCTTCAGTACCTATTTGCAAGACTTATTTGAAATTCAGAGGCACTGCACTCTGATGAACTAAGCAGTGCTATTTTCTTTTTGTTTCTTCTTCCCTATTATTTTTGCTATTTACAGTTATTTTGGTGGATGCTATAAAATAAAGGAGATTTTTTTAAAGTTAGAGACATAATATTTGAGCAGTGTCAGGATTCCTTTGTTTTTGTAAGTCTTAAAACTTCATCCTTGTTTATAAATGCACAGTTTACCAGATATGGTGACAATTTAAAGACATTTGATACCTGTTAAGGCCTTTCATTAGAATCCTCCACAATCTGCATCAGAGATAGGACTTGCTGAATCACTATAGATAATGTAGATCTCAAAGCCACCAGTTTCTTCCGTGTATGGATTTAGACTCACAATGTAAATTTGGTCAATTTTAAGAAAATCCCTGTCAGTTTTGCAGGTACCTTTAGGGAGGTGGGGTCTCAACAGGAAAGAATGTCATCTTTGCCCCCCACCATCCAATGCTTAACATTGGTTTGCCTCAAACACTATCATCTTTGAGTGAGAAGTCCTTATTCTTGTTTAGGAGCAATTGGAATAAGAGGAGTATCCTCCCACTGGAAAGTGTTAAATCAGCACAATAGTGTGTTGAAACTAATCTGCCACGTATTAGTAATTATTCAGCCACACGTCTCTACTGCTGGGTGGGCAGGTCACAAAAATCTTCTCTTCTTCTTGTGAAGAAAATCCCACTTCTCGTTTATTTTAGTTTGTTAATTGGATTTCAAATGGTATTTTAGGTATTCCTAACAAAGACTATGCATGTAACTTCAGAAGTCCCAGATAAATCAAATGAAAACAGAGCATCCGCTTCCTTAAGTTATGATTTTGCTGCAATACAAAGGTTGACTTTCTAACTGCATTTAATATGTGACGTGTCAACTCTACCACCTGAGATTGGATTCTATGGTTCTTCATGTAACAAAAACAGCACAAGTCACCACAAGGGTACCCTTCCCAACTAATACGTCTCATCCCTGTGCCAGAAGGGCAAGTGGATAATTGACTCTCCATGTCCAGTCAAGTCTTTGGGTGCTTGATTGACCTAGCAACAAGCATTTCGGTTGTGAGAGTGGTCTCTGTGATGGTGATGCCTACTTATCAATGACTAAACTGAGACCACCAACTCAATTCACATGAGCCAGTGAGTGTCCATCTCATGGAAATGATGGACCTAGTCTCAATTCAAACTTGTGCAATAAAGAAGAAAGAGCAAGGCCAATAGTCTTAATGACCTGTTCTCCCAACTTTCTGTCACTCAGCTCTTCACCTGAAGTCTATGACAGTTGCCTAAATTTGTGTTGGCCTCTTTGCAAGGGAACCTCATGTTGTGAAAATAAGTGGGTGATGAACTTCAGTGCTTTGATT